TCCCACTATATCTGGCGACGTAGATTGGCAGTCTTCTTTGTTGAATTCCCCAATTTCACCATTAATATTCTATTAATGTCAGGTGAAACCCGTTTTTTGCAGAATGGCTGACATTGTTTACGCCGTTTGTACCGAAAATTGTTCCATCGGTATTATGATTCTTCATAAATAAAATACAAATTCATAATTTTATTATCATGTTCGGTTGTGGTTAACGCTTCGGACTATAGCCTCTAGAAAACACTTTTTTCTAGGGGTTATACTTTGGACATGGAGTGATATGCATAAAGTTTAGTAATTACTAAATACTGAAATTTACAAGTAAATACTGACTTTCGTATGAATAATAATAAGTATAAGCTTATAAGTATTTACTTATTACTTGGTCTTGAAAAATTTTCTAGGTTTTACTTAATTTTCCAGTAAATACTTCAAGTTGCATGCATAATAACAAGTACTTACTTGTACAGTTTGGGACACGGAATTTCAAACGAGCTGTCAATCATAATGACAATAAGGTATAAGACTACAATGTTTTTAAATGTCAGAAAGTTGGTTGTCGTTTGAAATTCCGTGTCCCTAACCGTACTTGCAAGTAAGTACTTAACATTTTTCAAGCTACTTTTTAGTAGACTAGTGATTATACTAAATTGAATTCAGTCAACGTGCAGTGTGTCTTAAGAAGGTGATTGACATTTAAAGTTTAGGACAGTTTAGAATGGCGCTATTTCTTCTTCCTTTTCGTCAACAGAAATTATATAAACCCCGGAGACAAGCGTTTCCGAATACGTACAAGGCAATGTACAGATTCGAAGAAGAAAACGTGCAGTATTTAGATAGATAGATGCAAAATTTAATCATTCCTTGGGGTCAATGAGTGATATGCATAAAGTTTAGTAAATACTAAATACTGAAATTTACAAGTAAATACTGACTTTCGTATGAATAATAATAAGGGTAAGCTTATAAGTATTTACTTATTACTTGGTCTTGAAAAATTTTCTAGGTTTTACTTAATTTTCCAGTAAATACTTCAAGTTGCATGCATAATAACAAGTACTTACTTGTACTTGCAAGTAAGTACTTAAAATTTTTCAAGCTACTTTTTAGTAGACTAGTGATTATACTTAAATTGAATTCAGTCAACGTGCAGTGTGTCTTAAGAAGGTGATTGACATTTAAAGTTTAGAACAGTTTAGAATTGCGCTATTTGTTCTTCCTTTTCGTCAACAGAAATTATATAAACCCCGGAGACAAGCCTATCCGAATACGTACAAGGCAATGTACAGATTCGAGGAAGAAAACGTGCAGTATTTAGCGGATGTATTTTTGCGTGATCAAGCTGAAACTCGTGGGGGTGCTTTATCGGCAAAACTGAAAATGGAAATATTTTTAAGATACATGGGCGATCCGGGATTTCAAGTGGGTGTTGGGGAAGATAGTGGTACCCATCAAAGTACCGTCTCAGGGATAGTTCACGAAATCAGTAATAAAATTTACGACAGCGCCCATCAATGGATAAAATTTCCGGCAGAACAGAGAGAAGTTGATGCAGAAAAACAGGAGTGGTTGGAAAAATATAACTTTCCTGGTACATGGTGGATAATGGGATTGCGGTCACCACTATCCAATAATTTTATGAAATCTTCCTCCCATCGTTTGAATTTAATTTGTTTATTTCCTGTTTTTTTCAGTCGGTCTTTTTTTTTAATTTCTGTTTTCATGTTGTTGATCTTTTTTAATATTTTTGGTTCCGTCATAGATTCTCCATAATCTATGGCGTATTGGCTTGCGAACTTACTTAGAGCAGCCTTTTTTTTCTCTCGGCTGTTTGGTGTTTGCGATTTGGTTCATAAGAATATCGGCTATTTCTTTAAAATCTAAATAAATCTTTCCTTCTTGTTGTTTATTTCAGTAGTTTCAACACTTTCTTCACCGGTTTCGGAGTCTGAGGAACTCATGTTGCAACCAAATTCGTACGTATGCCACAAATCACAAAATTATTTTTATGACAGTTACGTTAATCAGTTTTTAAGTATTTACTGGAAAATTGCAAGTATTTACTTATAAGTATAAGTAAAAGGTTATGCATATGAATTTCAGTAAATACTTCTACTTGTAGTAACTACTAATAAGTAGATGCTTTTACTAAAAGTTTTTACTTTTAGTAAATACTTATTTTTATGCATATCAGCCAATATTTTGGCGAAAAAAACTAGTCCCCCTCTTTCCTTGTAATTATTGTTCGGTTTATGAGGACATTCCCTTTATTACTTGAGGAAGATCTACATCATTCTTCACTGTCTATAAATTTTAACAAAATCTCTTTTTGCGCCTCATAAGCTTTTCAAATGAACAGATTGAACAAGAACTTCAGCTTTAAAAAAGCGAATTTTCAGCAACTTTACCAAAAACTAATATATTAAGAAAATCAAGGCAAATGCATAGATTCTCCATAATCTATGGCGTATTGGCTTGCGAACTTACTTAAAGTAGCCTTTTTTTTCGGCTGTTTGGTGTTTGCGGTTTGGTTAATAATATCGGCCATTTCTATAAAATCGAAATAAATCTTTCCTGCTTGTTGTTTATTTGAGTAGTTTCAACACTTTCTTCACCGGTTTCGGAGTCTGAGGAACTCATGTTGCAACCAAATTCGTACGTATGACACAAATCACAAAATTATTTTTATGACAGTTACGTTAATCAGTTTTTAAGTATTTACTGGAAAATTGCAAGTATTTACTTATAAGTATAAGTAAAAGGTTATGCATATGAATTTCAGTAAATACTTTTACTTGTAGTAACTACTAATAAATAGATGCTTTTACTAAAAGTTTTTACTTTTAGTAAATACTTATTTTTATGCATATCAGCCATTTGCTGATATGCATAAAATTAAGTATTTACTGAAAAGTAAAAACTTTAAATAAAAGCAAATGCTCAATAGTAAATACTAAAAGTAGAAGTTCTTACTAAAATTCGTATGCATAAACTTATACTTATACTATTAAGTACAAAATACTTTAAATTTTCCAGTAAATACTTAGAATAAAAAAAAAATAGGCGGTGTCACTCAATGAGTGATATGCATAAAGTTTAGTAAATACTAAATACTGAAATTTACAAGTAAATACTGACTTTCGTATGAATAATAATAAGTGTAAGCTTATAAGTATTTACTTATTACTTGGTCTTGAAAAATTTTCTAGGTTTTACTTAATTTTCCAGTAAATACTTCAAGTTGCATGCATAATAACAAGTACTTACTTGTACTTGCAAGTAAGTACTTAAAATTTTTCAAGCTACTTTTTAGTAGACTAGTGATTATACTTAAATTGAATTCAGTCAACGTGCAGTGTGTCTTAAGAAGGTGATTGACATTTAAAGTTTAGAACAATTTAGAATGGCGCATTTGTTCTTCCTTTTCGTCAACAGAAATTATATAAACCCCGGAGACAAGCCTATCCGAATACGTACAAGGCAATGTACAGATTCGAGGAAGAAAACGTGCAGTATTTAGCGGATGTATTTTTGCGTGATCAAGCTGAAACTCGTGGGGGTGCTTTATCGGCAAAACTGAAAATGGAAATATTTTTAAGATACATGGGCGATCCGGGATTTCAAGTGGGTGTTGGGGAAGATAGTGGTACCCATCAAAGTACCGTCTCAGGGACAGTTCACGAAATCAGTAATAAAATTTACGACAGCGCCCATCAATGGATAAAATTTCCGGCAGAACAGAGAGAAGTTGATGCAGAAAAACAGGAGTGGTTGGAAAAATATAACTTTCCTGGTACATGGTGGATAATGGGATTGCGGTCACCACTATCCAATAATTTTATGAAATCTTCCTCCCATCGTTTGAATTTAATTTGTTTATTTCCTGTTTTTTTCAGTCGGTCTTTTTTTTAATTTCTGTTTTCATGTTGTTGATCTTTTTTAATATTTTTGGTTCCATCATAGATTCTCCATAATCTATGGCGTATTGGCTTGCGAACTTACTTAGAGCAGCCTTTTTTTTTCTCTCGGCTGTTTGGTGTTTGCGATTTGGTTCATAAGAATATCGGCTATTTCTTTAAAATCTAAATAAATCTTTCCTTCTTGTTGTTTATTTCAGTAGTTTCAACACTTTCTTCACCGGTTTCGGAGTCTGAGGAACTCATGTTGCAACCAAATTCGTACGTATGACACAAATCACAAAATTATTTTTATGACAGTTACGTTAATCAGTTTTTAAGTATTTACTGGAAAATTGCAAGTATTTACTTATAAGTATAAGTAAAAGGTTATGCATATGAATTTCAGTAAATACTTCTACTTGTAGTAACTACTAATAAGTAGATGCTTTTACTAAAATTTTTACTTTTAGTAAATACTTATTTTTATGCATATCAGCCATTTGCTGATATGCATAAAATTAAGTATTTACTGAAAAGTAAAAACTTTAAGTAAAAGCAAATGCTCAATAGTAAATACTAAAAGTAGAAGTTCTTACTAAAATTCGTATGCATAAACTTATACTTATACTATTAAGTACAAAATACTTTAAATTTTCCAGTAAATACTTAGAATAAAAAAAAAATAGGCGGTGTCACTCAATGATGACAAAATCTTCCCGACATTAAAGCCGTGTGTGCGTATTTTGTAAGTGAGGCCTACATAAATCCCCCTTTGTTAAATCATGACTAAACATTAGAAACCAGAAAATTATAAAAAGATCAAACAAACATGGTACTTTATATTCACTGCGATTTGTGATAAAGTGAAGATAACTCTTAATTTTACGATAACACTACCATAATTTTTACAACATTTTAAAGCACGGTTTCCAAATGAGTATAAACTTCCTTCTTAAAAATTTTAAGTTTTAATAAAACATTATGACACAAACCATTTATCATTCTTATATTTACCAATTATTGTCACCGACAATTAATTGACCTAAATAATTTTGATTTAATTAATGTTGTTTAAGGAAATGTTCATACAAAAGAACTCACAGATATCATATATATCCGGACAACCAGGCTGCCATCGTCCACCATTTGGATAAAAATCAATGTGGCCCATAGGTTGTGCAATACTAAGTACTCTGATGTAGGTGTGAATAATATCAACTAGCTTTGCATCTTTTACATCAAGTTTTAACTCTGGATCAACTTCTCGAAAACCAGGCGCTGCAGGATCTAAACCTAAAACAGTGTAAAAGTTATATGTATTTGTTATAGATACTGTCGAGAAAAGTGAGATAAATATATGTGTCTGGTAAGAAATTATTCGCGTGTTGATTTTTATCCGATACACATGTTTAACTTGAACGTGTTGTCCAAAAAACTAAACAAAAAAAAATGCAGTACATAAATAAATATACAAAAAGATCAAGTAATAGCTATTTAATAGGAAAGCAACGAAAAAACTACAACAAATGCCCTGAATTAGCCCTTTTCTTGCAATGCGAACTTTAGCACGTCTCAGAGGTGGATAATTGTAGGGTACGAAAAAGGATCAATTTTTTTCTTCAAATTCAAGCATATCCAGCATTAAATATAAAACTCAAAGATAATCGCATTACATACCTACTTACTTTTATTAACGAAAATTTTGAGCAAACATCATTTCTTAACATAATAATTAATTCAGGTTTAGTTACTTAAACTGCAACCCTAACTAAATGCAGCGACGACGCAAGCCTATGGGCTACGTGAAGGTTACCCTCACGAATCCACTCTGTGATAATTACAGTTAGCATACGTCTTAATCACAATACTAATCTGTTTAAATTTCCAGGCTATATGAAAATATTAATTTATTGTTCACCCTGAACTCCAGACGCAGCATGTTCTCCCATTCAAACTGTTAATAGAAATCCAGAAAAAATATATTCATAAAGTAAGCGATCATTTCCAAAATTTTCGGAACCTTGGAATTCAATCTTTATATGCATTCCCAGTTTTTTTTTATCAAATCTTATTTATTGCATCAATATAGTTGACACTGTTGATTGAGAAGGGAAGCACATTAACTACAATGCCATTTAACAATTGCATTTATCTGCCTAGATAACTTGTAGTTGTTATTGTTGCAAGATGCGTTCAGACTTGCAAAGAGATAAAATTGTTAGTTTATTTCACGAAATCTCTAGAAATTATACATTTTATTTTCTGGTATGGCAACGAAGAAATAAGCAGTTTTATGCAAGCCAGGTATGGAATACAATATTCAATTGTGATATGTCTAAGGGGCTGGATATGTTTTCCTATTCAAGATTTGAGTTTTAAACATGGTATATAATATCATCGTGAATTCAAAGAGGGAAACGAGATTCTTTGCTGACTGTATGTTATCATTTCGTCGCTTAATAATTACAAAGTCGTAAGTAGATTTCAAGATAATGACGTCTGGAGACCTCAAATTTTATGCATTAGTTTTCTTGATTACCCAACAATGTAGTTTCCGTAAGTCGCAATATGTTTTGATTTGGTGCTACGAGGGCCACTAAATATATTTTCTACCTGATTATGAAACAGAAGACATACGATTTTGGTGATAATTTTATTTTTCAATATAATCACCTCCTACATAAATGCACTTGCCCCATTTACTCTCCAATGAATTTATGCCCTTGAAAAAAAATATTTCTTTCTGATCGTCGAAAAAATGGTAAACTGCTTCTTTTAAGCACTCATCAGACTTAAAACGACGTCCGCGGAGGTGTTTTTTTAACAATCTGAATAAATAAAAGTCAAATGCAGCTAGATCAGAACTATAGGGGAAATCATCCACTCCAACGAACCTAAATTCTTGCACAACGTGCTGAATTTTAGCCGACCTATGCACCGTCGCATTGTCGTGCATAGGTATACTTCTCTTTTGGTCAACGTGGGCCGTTCCTTATTAATTGCCTTTTTTGAGAGTGATGGCACAGTTGTCTACTTTTATTGTTATGCCTTCCATAAGAAGGATGCCTCTAATGTTCCAAAAGCGATTGCCATCAATTTTCCGGCAGATGGTTCCGTCCGTACCTTTTTTGGAGGTGAAGATCCTTTGTGAACCCATTATGTTGATTCAGATTTTGTTTTGCGGTCCCAGTGGTATACCCAATTCTCGTCATCGGTCACAATTTGAGACAATAAGTCGCAATTCTCTTCAAATGTTTCCAAATGATTTCGTGAAAATTCCATTCTGCGCAGTTTTTGTTAGGATGTCAGCAGTCGGGCAGAGACTTTACTCATTGTGTAAACCTTAAGACACCGATCCTCGAGGACCATAGCTTCAACTTTTTGAATCATTTCTGCATCTATTGCTGTTTTTGGTCGTCCATTTCTGGGGTCGTCTTCGATGGATTCACGTCTCTACCGAAATTGTTTAGACCAAAATTTTATTAGGTAATAAGATGGTGCATCATTTCCATAAACTGCCACCATCTTCGCACGAATTGTCTTTGGCTGCTGGCCTTCTTTTGTGAGAAACCTTATAAAGCTGCGATCCTCTAATTTTAAGTTGCTCACTTTTCTTTGTGTAACAACTTATAAAACCGAAATAAATAATCCAAATTAAGTCAAATTTTTGGTACAGGGTTAGAATAAAGGACACTATTTGACATATTAACGATAACGGTGTCAATGGTTTTATTCATGGCTAGGTAGATAATATTTCTAGTTACCCTCGTATATGTTATTAAAACGCTCCGCTCCGCACTCGTATATCTATTGTAAAAACTCGCTTGATATTTGTCACTTTCGACACTTGTTACGAAATATATTATTTCAGATTAAAGTCACTATATTTTCAAAAACATTACTCCCTCCGTCCGAAAATATGGTATACATTTGTAACTTTATTTAATAATGCTATCATAACGACAATTTCAATTTATATGCAATGGGACTTTATTTAGCGCTTCTGGAGAACATACCAATCTCGTTGGTAACCTTCCCTCTCGATGAAGTTTGGATTTATTAAGATGAGGAATTTTATACTTAAAATTAAATGAATAAATACATAAATTAGATTATTTATAATATATTATTATTATTAAGACCCACCACTGACCCGGAAATGACCGACATTCAGGCAAGACTTCTATGATTACGGGTACTAAGACCAAGTAATGATATGCATTGATTAGATATTATTTATTATATTAAATAATTTATATAATTTAATTATTCTTTCTAAAATCTCTTATTTTTTAAATTCAGCGGGTGTCGATTTATTTTGTTGTTATTGTAATAATTTTCTTGGTCACCTTTTTAACAGAAACAAACGTAGATCTCAGTCCACTATTTATATGATGTTCCATTACTATACAAGTTACAAACAAAATTGCTTGATTATAATTTGCGGGTCATCACATGTTAATTACAATAACTTTGTAAAATGTATACTATATTTTCGGACAGAAGGAGTATTACTTTTCAACATTGTATCAACAAAAATGATGCAATTTTAATATTAATTAATTTATAATTATATATTACTATTATTGTTTAAACATTAGTAACAAAATCGATCAAATATTATTATTGCTGCTGTTTATCAATAGCATTATAGTATATTATTAACCAAGGTTGTGAAGACAATCATTCTAGACCGAGTGCAAATTGACCCTTTTCCTGTAAGCAAAGTGAGTAGACATTATATAAATTCCAATGATACGGAGTGAGACAACATCGCGCAGGTGAAGTCAGATTTTTGGAGCGCCAAGTTAAAATTAACCAATGAGCGACAGATTACGCATGTGTAGCTGGTTGCATTCTGTCAAAGCGGTTTGTTGTCACAGGCCTTTGCTCTGCTGCCGGAGTGCCGGATACGTGGTTTTGAAGATGCGTGCGCACGGAAAGTCACTATGGAAGTTTTACGATCTTACAGGAAAAGGGTCAATTAGAACCTGGGACGCGCAGCGTCGAGGGGCCTAAAGCGCGATGTCTAGAATTGGCTTCACAAACGTGGTTAATATACTATTTTTTCCACTAGTAACCCATTTGAGGTTTGTGAATTTTAAAAAAATTTTTTTTGAAGTGCATCAATAAAAACGTGTACTCACGTCATTTTACTAAGCTTTGAAATTTTGTTATTTGTTGACAGTCCAAAACTTTTGTTTTAATGTCCTCCATATTTTCCGTTTTTTGTGTGAAAAATGTTGGAAAGTGAACCGTCATGTACCCCTCCTGAAATAAAAGAGGCGGCACTCATTCCGTCGTACTTATGCGATCGCGATAATTTTGGCTGAAAAAGTTATCGACTTTTCACCGTTAAAGCGACACGGGGGATGGAAATCCTTCAGGCAAACCAAAACGTAACCATGAGGCAGTTTCACTCCCGTCAACTTCATTTTCACTCCCATCAACTTCATCAACTTTTAGTACCACTAATTTATCCTTCCATTTTGTTGACAATCACGACTCAAAACCAAATTTTAAAATTTTCGCGGGTCTACAAATATTTGTTCGCATGTCTTAATTTTGGCGAGGTATTTGGCTCACCACAGTACTAAAAATATAAAGTCGAATCCAACACGTTAAATGCAGCAACCTATTATGTTTTCAACCGCGTGGTGCTTAATATTAGAAAAAATATTTTGTCTACAGATCTATTCTGTACCTGTTATGCGTCCAATTAAGCCAGTTTTAATTTGATGACCAGCTATACCAGCAACGTGTGCTCCTAAACTGTGACCGACTAGATGAAGTTCGTTTAAAGCAACACCAGTGCCTGATAGCCAGTTCAAAAATTCTGCGAGAATTTTTCCTGCTCTTCTAGCTCCACCAACTGCTGATAGGTATTCAAATTCGCACAAAGATGACCAATCCATCCCTATGACATTATAGTCACCGGATTCCATATAAGCTGTAAATTTAGATTTAAAGTTTGCCTCTAATTTTGTCGAAGTGGACATAGAACCATTTTTATTTGCCACAAAAACATCCTCTTTTATGCTACTTTGAAAGCCGTGAATTATAATTTTTGTAGGATTACTAGTATTAAAACCTGATTTTTTAAGGCTGATCATGTCATTGATCTTGATGCGGTGGGGAGGGTGCTGTCTGAAAATCAATAAAAATTACTTATTTTTATAAGCAACGTCCATTTAATAAATGTCTGAATTTTATTTAGAAATAAAAAATAGTACTATTTTACTTCAAAAACAAATGTGGTTTGCTTCGATCTTATAAAATATAAATATAATATAGATGTGATTTCAGCGATTACCATTTTATTCGTTGGTATTTTGGATTCGGCTCCTTTTTGTTTACTAAGTGATTTAAAGGAAGTTAGGCTTTTTAACATTATTCTATCTGTTTTTATAAAATGAATGTTGTTTTGTGTACAAAGAGTGGAATTTTCGAGATGTCCAAACAAGCAGACAACATAAATCAAACCTTTTAAAAAAGTGGATTGCTTCGTTGGAGGCTGTGCATTAACTCTCGTATCGTTGCTCATTGCTCAAGATACTGACAAGTCCCACCCTTGCTGTCCATTTGTGTACTACTTACCTTATAATGGAACGAAGGTGTTAACTAAAAGGAACTTTCTCCCTTTGTATGACGGCTCAAAGTGGATAAATGTCAAGATTAGCCATAGATCGGAACACCTTGCCGGTCGCGAAAACCTTTTTCTCGCGAATTTTCCTGTGCTTGTTTGTATATACCGCACATAGGTATGCTTTTGTAAGTAAATGTCTCGTAGGAGCTTTCGAGTACTTATTTATTAATGTTCAAAAGTCCACTGTGTGTAGATGGATATATAGGTAATTGTAGTAACACACAGATTATGAAACTCCATTACATACTTACATTAGAAACGTTTAGTGTAGTGCTAATGGCAGCATGTGATACGAACCCTTGTTTCAGCTTAATAGGTGTTGGAGGTTATGGTTCAAGTCATAATAGTACTGTCTTTAAAAATTCAGCTTTTGGAATTGCACTAGAAGATGGTACTGATGATAATAATCTACCATATGTTTTCGTGGCCATTTCCTGGATCTAATCTTACCATTACACAACGTATTTTTAACTACAGACTATCACGCGCCCGACACTGAGAGTATATTTGGGATTTTAGCAGTGCGATGGAGAATTTTATATACAGGGTGACTGCGAATTATATGCAAATATTTTAACCACGGCATCCCCCACCCTAGTAGAGGCGAAATATAGAAAAAACAAATTAAACATCGAATGGGGCAAAACCCCCATGAACCACCCTCGATACGAAGGCACTGAGCCACCTTGTAAACAGAGTTGAAAAAACGTTCCAATAAAAACGACCTAAACACTTTCAGTTTCAATTAACAGTAAAACCGACTTTTTGCTGCTTATCATTCGTTCATTCATTTAGGTACTCATTCATCGTTAAAGGTCAGTGTGAAAGTTTTTTGGTAATTTTGATTCTGACGGATGTTTGGTCCTTGTCACAACGATTTTACATTGTTTATTGGAACAGAAATAAGAGCAACTTAGAATACTACTACCTTTTTACAAGAAATGTTGAAAATGTTGTCCTTGACTAGCAATACAAGCGTCAGAGCGTCGCAAGAGGTTTGTTGATAGGTAAAAAAACACCGGAGTAGCGGCTGCCACTTTCACTTGTTGAAGCTCTTCGATAATTTCTGGACACTGTTGACTTCCACAAACGAATTGTTTCATCCAACCAATACACGTTTCTCGAAAACCGTCTCTTGAAATCGTACTTGTTGACGACTATGTGGAGTTCTATCGGACAAAAAGTGAGTTACACAACGTGGACAATCAGCGGGCTCCAAACAGTGCACTTTGTCAACATGGTATGGATGTGACCGTGTTCTTTTAATGTAGGATGCACTACAAGCTGCGAAAATCCAAATTCTCCTTTCTGCCCCATCACGACCACCATCGTGAGTTTGAGGTTGAAGGTACCATGATCTCGGAGATGCTGTACCACTGATGCAAATGTTCGCCCACACAAATTGCCATATCGACACACTCTGCATTGGAAAACTGGACCATACACCGATTTCAACGACCGCTCGATAATGACTGGCCCTTTTCGTGTTTTTCTCGTTGCGATTAAAAAAGTGCCTGATAAAGTTACTTTTTTGGTTCTTACTCCGAGTCCCCTGCCCATTCATTGCAGTAATTATGTAGGTCACGAAACATTACCAGCGGCGCGTATAACAATTTACATTTAATTTCAAATAATTTTTTCTAGACACTGTTACCACTTTGGACCGTGAATTTTTGCCAGTGACATAATCAAATTGTGAGCTATTCCCCATTTTTTGTTTGCATGTATTTCGCATTCAGCCTGTATTAAAATAAATGCTTCTGTGAAAAATATTGACACAATAGTCAAAGCATACATATCCGCACACAATTTTGTAAAGATTGCGAAGATGGGGAATGGAGACGAGAATTTCAATCTTTGCGGTCTGTGAGTCGATTGCCCGCAAATAATGCAGCGCGTTACATAGTTGAAAGACAAGTTTGCATAGTGTTTCACAACAGAGGAAGGACGTGTGCCATGGCAGTGGGAGAAGATTAATGCTGGCAGACACCTACATTGAGACATTTTTAAATATAAAATGTAAAATTATTAATTATTATCATAATATATAAACTACTAGAAATCATTTTCTTCTTCTTGAACACCTTCTACAATTTTAATAATTTTGATTTTTGCTCTCTTCTTTTCTGGTGTTTCCATTCACTGTAACAGCTTGCCCGACGTACTGTCCAAAAACTTTGTCAAGTTCCTCAACATGGCTAGTGGTGTTCTTCTCCAAGTACGTTTTCATAGTTGTTCGCATGGACACTAGCGTTTCTTCCATATTTTTTACCACGACCTTATTAATAACTAATATAGTAGGTCATGTTTTTTACAATAGACTTATTGGAAGTGTGCCTTTTACGCTAAAGGTGGACAATGATAATGTATAATAATACATTGGTGCTTGCGATTTACATGTGATTCCGCTGATATATGTGAATATGAACTTAGATGGCTAGTGGTTCTTTGCTCTGGCTCAGATAATTGTGTCACCTCAGTTGCTGGTTCATCCAATTGTAAGGTTTCACCTCCGAGTTCTGAGACATTCGGTCTTCATTTATCATGGGCTCGTTACACTGGCCTTCAGGTTGTATTGATGTTTTTTTATTCTCTGTGTTTACGTGCGTACTTGCCTTTTTTGTGCTATGTACATTACTGTTCTTCATAGGGCTCGTGTCCTGAATGGGTGATCTTTTTTTTCTTTCTTTTACATATTTATCTGTTATGTTTTTCCAAGTTTTTTGCACTGCATCAGCTACAAATAAATAAGTCACTAATTTGGATATTCCGTAGAGGAAAATAACATTACCCTCTTTTTATACTTACTTTCTGCATTTAGGGCCAAACTGATTTTTCTCCACTTGTTTGCTCGTTTTATTTTATTCCCTTTTTATCATATAAATGAGGCGCCCCTTCAACTAAGTATCACTGTTTAATCACGCGTACAGTACATGCGGTTAAAGAATTCACTCCGAAAAACTGTGTGTCATGAATGTCTCAAACCAACGCAATTTCTGTTTGGCTGTCGCACGGATTTCGCAACACAAGACGCAGAAAATTTGAAGTTGAGGTATCTTTTTTTTGGGGTTGGATAAGCGGATACGCTTTATAAACAATAGACTTGAATACCAATACGTAAACTTTAAAAGTTTATAAATTAGCCTTAAGTGTCTATCTGTCAGCTTTATTTAATTTTTTTTTTTTTGAACAACCGGAATATGGTTTGTTCCTTGCATCTTGACCGACACTAAAAGAAGGATAGGATTTTGTTTCCTTAGCATTGCACTTAACACTACACCACCACAAAAACATTGTGTGCTTACAGCCGACTCCCGGTCTTCTCTCAATCTGGACTGCTCCTAGGATCGAGTTCCGCTTCCAAAAGATTCCGCCTTCCTCTGATTGATTTGATCAAAATAGAGGAAATGGCCTCCGTTCTGACCGAATTCCGAAAGTATATATATATTCAGAGCCTTCAAGAATGTTCGGGAACCATGTGACCAGTTAATTACTTCTAACTAATAAATCGGTTTGCACTAATGATAATAACTGACAAATTATGTTTACTAAATTGTCATTGTTTATTTGCTATTAGCGTCATTTACGGTCAGTACCGTCCATGCAGTAACAATTCTCGTTTTCGTTTTGTTTTTATTGTGTTTACTTCCCGAGCGTAAGCGAAGGAAGTATTGTATTCGAATCCGTCGGCCGACTGTCTACTTTTACGTTTTCTCGACCTTTCATGATCCTTTGAGTACGAAGAAATAGGTCTCCCGTGTCCGCCTGTCCGTCCGTCTGTTCGTCTGTTGCGGTCTGTCCGGATTTTTATAAGACAGATAATCTGCGAAAATACTGGACCGATCGTTGTCAAATTTTGTATTTTATATTAGGAATATCATGTAGATGGTATAACGCCGACCAAAATTTGGTTAATCATCCCCACCAATAATGTGATGACGTCACTTCAAAACTGCACATGGTAAATGGGTTTTAAATTGTATAAAATAACATAGTCCTCCACATGTAGTGTATGAAGTTGTGTTGAGATTTTACTCACGTCTAGATTTTTGTAAAAAAAAACAAAATTATAAAACAACATTTTGCAATTTAATTTTGAATCAGGAAAACCGAATGCTTTGAAATCTTGCAGATGTTTTGAAGTTATGATATGCATGATAAATTTTTAATCAAAATGTATTTGCTTATCCCCTCCAAAAAATTGATGACATCAGCTCAAAATTTTGCTATGTAAATCTTATCTAAAATGTTCAAAATATGAGTCTCTATACTTATCAATATTCATATTTTTTAGATTTCCTTATACAGGGTGGCTCAAAAAAATTAATGACTGAGTAAATTTGTTTTCTTGATTAAAACTGAATGCTTTGAAATCTTGCAGACGTTTTGTAGCATGGTAAATTTTTAAGTTAAATGTATGTGTTTATCAACTTCAAAAAATCGATAACATCATCTGAAAATTTTGCCGAATAAATCCTATCCAAAATGTGTAACTTATCATTGCATTCACATTTTTTAAATTTGCTTATACAGTGATTCAAAAAAATTACTGAATCAGTCAATTAATTTTATTGAATAAATCAAAAACGGCAAACCTGAATACTTTGAAATCTTGCAGACGATTTAAAGTTATTGTGAGCATGGTAAATTGTTAATCAAAATATATCTGTTTATTTCCCCTAAATAATTGATGACGTCATCTCAAAATTTTGCCAAATAAATCTACCCAAAATATCATGAGTTTTTACTTGTGATTTATCACTGCATTCATATTTTTTAGATTTGTTTATACAAGTGGCTCAAAAAAATTAATTAATGAGTCAATTTATTTTATTGATTAAATCAGGAACGGCTCACTCCATTTTCTCAGAAAATTTTGGGAATAGAATGGTGTTATTTACCAATCCAAGTTGATATACGTGTCCTTGCAAAAATGTCGACGATGTCATCACAAAATTATGTAAAGAAAAAACCGGACTCGAAAATGCTGGATATGTTTCATTGTACTTCAGGAGCGAGGGAAGTTCTCTTGAAGCAACTTTCGGCCAATTTTTTTTCCAAAAATCTGAATGCCAAGTGTATGTAAAAGTTCAACAGGGATTCATTAACCTACGTGCAGGGGTGTTATTTTGTAAAATTTAAATTACATTACAATTGAAAATTTTGGAGATGACATCCATCGTTGATGGTGGTGGATAGACAAATTTTGGTTAGAGTTTTACAATCTACACGAAATTCAAACCATACGTACAAAATTTGACAACAATTGATGCAGTAGTTTCGGACATTATCTGTCTAACAGAAATCCAGACAAACGGCAGACAGACAGGCGGAAAAGGGAGACCTTTTTTGTCGTGCCCTTAAAGCCATGAAACGTCGAGAAAACATGAATGTAACTAGTCGCCCAATGTAGTCGATTACAATAGTTGGTTAGCTTTCGCTCAGGAAGTAAAAAAGTAAAAAAATTTGTGTTACTATTATATTCTTCTTTATATACATATAAAAGGCAATGTCCCGACTGACCTATCAACGCCCAGCCCAAACCGCTAATGCTAGAAAGTTGAAATTTGGAGAGAAAGTTCATTTTATACTGGAGGCATCGTTTAAGAAGGGATTTCTCGAAATTCATTCCCTAAGGGGGTGAAAAGGGGTGATAAAATTTGTATAGGGCCAATATGTCTACTGTAAAATTTACACCGTTACGTGAAACCTGGTACATTTTAATTATCTTCAATACAAATAAGGAAATACGTATTTAAGCATTTTCGGAGATTCGACCCCCAAGGGGGTGAAAAGTGGTGTCTAAGTTTGGGCGGCTAAGTTTGTGTAGGAACCATATTTCTACTACAAATTGAAATTTTTACGTGAAACTTGATGTTAATGTTCTTCAACACAAATAATGAAACCCGTCTTTAAGCATTTTCTACAATTCAACCCCTAAGGGGGTGAAATGTGGAGGCTAAGTTTGTGTGGGAAAATATTTCTGTTGCATATATTTAAATGTTTACGTGAAACTTGGTTTTAATGCTCTTCAACACAAATAATGAAATACGTATTTGAGCATTTTCCGAAATTCAACCCCTAAGGGAGTGAAAAGTGGTGGCTAACTTTATTTGGGAAAATTTATTTCTATTCTAAATTCTTGGCGTGGAATTTAGGATTAATGAATAATGAAACACATATTTTAATATTTTCCGAGACTCAACCCCAAAGGGGGTGAAAAGTGCTGGTTAAGTTTGTATGGGAAAAGTATTTCTATTGTAAATTTAAATTTTTAACTGAATCTTGATATTAAATTAATGCGCTTCAAAACAAAGAATGAAACTCGTATTTAAGCATTTTCCAAGATTCAACCCCTAAGGAAGTGAAATGTGATGGCGAAGTTTGTATAGGAAAATATCTATTTCTCCTGTAAATTTAAATTTTTACGGAGAACTTGGTAGGTATTAATACTCTTCAAAACAAATAATGAAACACGCATTTCAGATTGTTCCGAGATTCCATCCCTAAGAAGATAAAAGGGGGTGGCAAAGTTTTTATGAGCAAAAATATTTTTTGTCGATTTTTACTGGAAATTGTATTAATGCCCTTCAACACATTTTTTACTTGAAGGTTAGTAATAACATTCTTCAACACAACGAATCGTTTACGCGAGCGATTACTATTAAGATATGCTCGTATTTTGTTGAGTTCTGCGCACTTCTAAAATGTCGATTAAAATAATGTCCTACCTGGTAAATAGTATAAACTGCACATTATCATCAGTTGTGTCCGACAGATTGGTTAAATTTTTCTTTTGGTTTGTTCTTGGTGGTTCTTTTTTATTTAAATTTCCATTGGTTGTAGCTACGACAACAAAGAATTATAACTGTTATTCATTAATAACCGAATATTGGCATATGATTCACAAAAACGTCCTTTATTGAGCCATGGAGTTAATAAAAAAAATTGGTCGAAAGTCGTTTCGGTAGAACTTCCATCGCCCCTAAAGTACAATGAAACATATCCATGCATTTCCGAAAAATTATAAAATTTGATTTTAGAAATTTAAAAAAAAAACTCATCATACTTTGCACATTTTAGGTATAATTTATTCGGCAAAATTTTGAGATGACGTCATCAATTTTTTGTGGTTGATAAACACATATTGACTTAAAAATTTACCATGCTTAATTAAAATAACTTCAAACGTCTGCAATATTTCAAAGCATTCACTTTTGCAATTCTTGATTTAATCAAGAAAGCAAATTGACTGTCATTGATTTTTTTGAGCCACCCTGTATAAGCAAATCTAAAAAATATTAATGAAGTAATAAATCAGAAGTATAGACTCATCATATTTTGCACATTTTAGATAGGATTTACATGGCAAAATTTTGAGCTGATGTCATCAAATTTTTGAAGGAGATAAGCAAATATGTTTTGATCAAAAATTTACCATGCTTATGATAACTTTAAAACATCGCTAAAATTTCACACCATTTGGTTTTGCAGTTCCTGATTAAATCAGTAAAATAAATTCACATATTCATTAATTTTTTGTTCTCACCATGTGTAAGCAAATCCAAAAAATATGAATGGAATGATAAATCACAAGTGTACTCTACATATTTTGGACATTTTAGACAGGATTTATTCGGCAATATTTTGAGCTGACGTCATCGATTTTTGGAAGGAGATAAGCAAATATATTTTGATTAAAAATTTATCATGCTTATAATAACTTTAAAAAATCTGCAAGATGTCAAAGCATTCGGTATTGCAGATTCAAAATTAAATTGCTAAATGTTGCTTTGTAATTTTAATTTTGTTTCCTAAAATTTGGACGTTTCGGGTAAAAACTCAACATGGAGTCATAAACTACATGTGTAGGACTATGTTATTTTGTACAATTTAAAACCCATTTACTATGTACAATTTTGAAGTGACGTCATCACATTATTGATGGGAATGATTAGACAAATTTTGATTAGCGTTTTACCACCTACATGATATTCTTAATATAAAAACAAAATTTGACAAAAATGGGCCCAGTACTTTCGGAGATTATCTGTCTTATAAAAATCCGGACAGACCGCAACAGACGAACAGACGGATGGCCAGACGGACAGAAAAACGGAAACAGGGGACCCATTTCTTCATACTTTAAGGGTCATGAAAGGTCGATAAAACGTAAAAGTAGGGTCGGCCGACGGACTTGATTACAATACTTCATTCGCTCACGCTCAAGAAGTAAAATGTAATTCGATGACTGATTAGAGGATGTTTAATTTCGATCATATGTTACCTTATATTTAATAATGCTTATACCGGGCGACTGACAAAAAAACTTTTGACGATATGTGTTGCTTATTTTAGTTTGAATAAACGATACACTAATAAAATTATTCTGAAAACATTGCAACATGGGTCAGTTTGATATTACATTTTTTTGCGGACTGTTTTCGACAGTCGACAATCGACAGTCAACTTAATTTTTTTAGATGGCACTGAATACATATACTTATGAGATATTTCAGATATTTGTTTATTCGATCTTATAAAGTATATTTTTCTGAATGTGAAAAAGGTAACGACTAATTCATACATTAAAAAATAGTCCAGAATTTGAATAAATTAAATCTAGTTACTGAAAAAAAAAACATAAAAAACCCAGAAAGTATTTTTCTTAATATAAAAGTGATTAAGTATGGCTTGATTATTTATTTGTGAATCACGCAATATGGTATTGAACGCAACAATTACTGATGTTTTTTCTAAAAGGTGTCAGCAATGCTTTGAACAGCAGGGAGGCAATGTTGAAGAACTTTTTACTAAAATAAAAAAATCTTATGCATTCGTATTTTAAAAACAAATATCCATAAATATAAACAACAAAATATACAGTTCCATTTAAAAAAGGAATCTGACTACTGTCTGTCAAAAACTAAACGTCATTTTTTTAGTCGATCACAATGAAGTATTTTTCAAACAATTTCATTTGATCTATCATTCTTCCGCATTGGTTAAAAAATAAACAACATACACCGTGAAAGATTTTTTGTGAGTCATCGTGTACGTATCAGGAGAGTTCAAAACACATTGAGAGAGTTATTATGGTTTTAATCATTTTTTGAGTTATATGATGCATTGCAGTTGCTATTACAATTTAAATTTTGTGGAAAATCTGCATTACAGATGCAACGTTCTCCAATTCACTTACTCCTCTGACTTACAATTAGACTTATAATCGTTAAGTACTATCTAAAAATTATACTTATACCTACTTACCAAATACAAGTAAAATTACCGAAGTAGCGGCTAAAGCCAAACCCGTAAGAGTCGCTAATGCACACATTTATAATAATTATACAACTGAAAAAAAAAGTACAGGCAGTCGTATTCATCAAATTGTTGAATATAACGGTAATGGCTCCATTGTACTTATGTATCTAATCTTTTCAATAGTCGTGTTTCCGTAATTTAATGCGGAAATGGTTACCATTGATGTAAAATTTAATGTTTCTGAACTCTGAATAGCATATTTTTATTATTTATTAACGTAGCGTCCCTAAAAATAAAGAGATATTAATATTTTCAAACCTTGCTTGTAGTGGATATGTAAAATGTCATGGTTTACTCATTGACGGATAAGCAAATAACTTGTAAAGAAGACACTTCGATGACGAAAGTATTAATTAAATATGGAATATTTCAAAATTACAAATTCGCCTCTTGCTCAATTTCCGCAATCTGTGGTGCGATTTTCGGACAAAGTACAGGACTTTGTTTCTTTTTGTGTGTTCATCCTGAGTGTTCATGAAACTGATGGTTGTTCTTGTCTTTCAGGGGTGTACAACTAAGACAGAATACCTGCGTGCAAGGTTTTAAAAATAGGAAAGGCCGTTATATAAAGAAAAACAAATTGTTATTCCAAAGCGTTAGAGTGATATAAAATCCCCGATATCTTTGGTGCCATCCAGGTCCTCCAGCAGTGTCAAAAAACAAGGCAACATTTAGAACAAAGATGAAATGATTTACCCCGTTATTTCGTCCGTAGAAATAAAATAATAGGAGTACTTTTTATTCGGAATTTCGAGCAAAAACGTTTCAATTAGTTCATAAGAAAACACATTAGATTTCTCCACACTGATCTCTTTGAAGAAAACAGATGCCAAATTTCTTGTGAAGAACCATAATTTTCTATAAAAGCAGGTTATGATGCCCAGCTTCGCTTTTCACAAGACACACATCGACTGCCAGTACGTTGTAAGTATAATAATTCCTTGCACTACTATGCGTTTAAATTTTCGGAACAATTGAAGATTCAAAAGATAAATGATTGAAAGAGTAGGTACATTGCCATGGATGTATGGATTTTTATGTCTCTAAGGCAGCAATTCCAACTAAATTTACAAGATCCATATCTGCAGTAATAAAATAACTATTAAAGAAGAAATTATTGATTTATTTATTTTTGTTACTTTAAAAATATTATCCAAACAGTGATTTCAGAAATTGCCTTTGTGACACACCATATGAATAAATTTTACGTGATACGTACCAATTGTAAAATAATGGACGAAAACTTTCCAATGCGAAATATATTGGTGTGATGACTGTGATGTAATATGGAAATGGAAACTTACACAAAAATCCATGTTTATCTCTCTATGAATCTGTATTAGGTACCTATTTAAATGCTATTACTAAATTCAATCGCGCAAAAAACGTCATAAGCATCACGAACGTTAAGGTCCGAATATTTTTTCCCACAGTCTCGTTTGGTAGTCCTACAAACAGTTAATAAAATATTGCTCATGTATTTTGACGATATTTAGATGCTAATAATAACTCATTGGAAATGTGTTTTCTTTATAATAAAACAATATAAAATCAAGTTGGGTACTTACATGTTGTTGAAAATTATTATTAATACTTACAATCAAACATTTAAAGAACAATATAGACGGTGAACAGGGAGAAAGCAATAGGGAATTTATTAATATTTTATTTCAAATATTAGTTATATCTAATCAATTGATTAGCAACTAAGTATTTAATAAAAATTTTAATAGAAAGAAAATAATTCGCCTCATGAGTTTCAATTTTGCGACAAAATGGTGGTACAAAAGCAAATAGCAAAACTATTTTATTTCATTGAACGTCGAAGACCCGCTAGAAAAATCGATATTTGAATTTCCCGCTTTCTTATAAAAGTTGGAGAATCAGTGGCGCCAGTGGTGTCGCGTGCATTTTAAAATGTCTACAGACTCTCTAGCCTCTCTAAAAATGTCAGTTACTGCTACAAAAATTATTTATCTCTGTCCATTGCTATAATATTTCACGGTGTATGCAAAGTGTGGACATCTTGATCAAGAAATAATTACAGGAATCTACATTACCTAGATTAAAACTTGTGTTGGAATGATTTCATTTTATTATGATTTTTATTATCTACTTAAATAAACTTAAACACATTTTATATAAAAAAAAATAAAAAAGAAAAATAATAATACTCAGAGACCGAATCAAAAATTTATTGTCATATATCGTAAAAAAGGACGCGTTTAAGACAGCATGGCATAAAGATTTTGGATATTGCCCATAAAAAATCATGTTGCCTTTGAAGGTGTGGCAAATTCGGCATCTGCATGAGTAAGAAAGAAGAATCAAACAAATGTATTAGACAAAGTAAGAATGACAGCGATAAGTTGTTCATTCTTATTAGTGTGGCACTAAAAAAATATGCATCTTTACGGAACATGTATCAAGTGTCCCACAAAATACTTGACAGTGTTTGCCAAAAAATTATTCACAAATATAAAAAGACAGAGATACAACATATCTATTTATTTCCTTTACCGTTCCCTCCACTTTCAAGTTCCCACTTCCCATTGCCCCACATGACATTTGAACCAGGTGTAGCTGATCCTTCCATCCCTACCACGGATCCCTATTGGATCTTAAGAACTGTCAGTGGTAACAACTTTTGTTTTTTTTTTGCGTTTTTTTGGTGCGAGGTGTTGTAGGTGTTTGGTTAGACAACCGGAAAAAATAATGGAGTTACTGACACCGTATTTAAATACTGTTAAAGTTCCATCAGCAAACGACAAAGTGTACAAAGATGAGTGTGTGTATTCTTTCGATAATCCGGTAAGACATTTGAAACGTTAAAAAGTTAGGTTAGGAACACAAAATTACTATGCAAATTTTTTTAACTCTTTAAGGAAACGGACAGTGGTTTATATGTGAGCCTAAAAAGCTTTTATGGGTTGGGAAGAGATTATGTTGAGAAACATTTTCGTAAAACTTCAGAGGCAGTGTATTTACATATTCGACGAATAAGACATGAAGTAAGCTTATTTGTTTAAATATTAATGTTTATGAATGATTTTGTACCGAAGGTAACATCCCCAACACAAGGAGATGGTCCAGAGAAAAAAATTACAAGATTGGCAATTGGTGTAGATGGAGGTTTCGATCCAGATATGGGCAAGAAATTTGAGTTCGAAAACATTTATAACTTAGTGATTTTACCCTCCTTCACAACACTTCCATGGCCAAGCGCGGAGATGCCTCAAATTGTAAGTGCTGACATTGTGGTGATATATTCAACACGAAAAAACTTTTAAACCAAAAAGTCAGTTATAATATTACATTAGTTTTTTGCATCATATATGTAAAATGATTTGAAAATTTTATTTTCGATCCCCACTGTGACCGGTTGTGCTTTACGTGATGTCCGCCGTTCCAGAACTAACATTTAAAATGCTCTTCAATTAAAATCGACTATACTCCTTCCAAAAACGTTGTGTATAAATTTGCTTTCATATGATATTTTAAAATTTTAATTTGGGGCTTAGTATTCCAGTGAAAGTATACCAGCTAATCTACAAGCAACTCAATTGTTTTCTCAGGTACAAGTCAAAATTAAGTAATAGTTTTGGTATATTGACATGTACTCATAAATTTAAATCATTTATTAGAATATTAATCATAAAACATTTTCCATAGTTTTCGCTATAAGGCCGAACATTGGCTTGACTTCATCAACAAATTTTTATATGAAAAAACTCACTAGAAACTTGCATTTTTTACCTGTACTTTAACAATTCACTTATATACTAATTTCAGCTCATAGGGGTTATCATTAAAAAAAACTCAAATTTAATTTTTATAATAATTATTTGAAGCCGCATTTGTTCGATTTTACTTTAAGGACGAAAGAAGTTCTGTCGAAAGAATTTTCAATCAATTTTTTAATTGTAATTCACGGACGTCATTTTTTATTATTTAGGTAATCATTAGCTTTCCAATAGTATATTTTTAACTTGTTCCTATATCCAACCTACTGTTTAGGTTTACGCGACAAATAAAAAATGGCTGTTTAAATGTTATTTATATACATATTGTATACAAGTATGTAAAATAATAGTAATGTCGGATACACGAGCTACTTGAGAAAATTCATTCTCTTGTCCTAGGACTTCTTCTGTTAAAGTTTTTCTCATTAACACTTAACTAGAAGTCGCCATTTTACTCACTGTGACTTCCATCCTGTATAGGTAAAAACATCGATTGAAGCAATATTAGAGGCTCCATCTGCAAGTAAGTTAGTAGAAATGGAAGCGCTGACAGGAACGTGGGATGGTGAAACGCGCATAGTGTCACAATATGCCAATGACTTACCTCAACTAAACAATGGGAAAAAGATTCCGCCTGCAGGATGGCAATGTGAAAAATGTGATAAAGCAGATAATCTTTGGTTAAATCTAACAGACGGTACTATTCTATGTGGCAGAAAATTTTATGATGGAAGTGGGGGAAATAATCATGCCATTGATCATTACAATTGTACAGGTTATCCCCTGGCTGTAAAACTAGGCACGATTACAAAAGATGGTAAAGGTGACGTGTTTAGTTACAAAGAAGATGATATGGTGGAGGACCCCAATCTGGTTCAACATTTAGCTCACTGGGGTAAGTGTTACCAGCTTATTTACTTAGGTACAATGTTTCTAAATTAAGTATTGCAGTATTAAATAAAGGGAGATTTAGATTTTATCTGATAATTATACTTTGTAGGAATAAATATTGCAAATATGGAAAAAACTGAAAAGTCTATGGTAGAATTAGAGCTTGAGCTGAATCAAAAATCGAATGAATGGTCGGCGTTACAAGAGAGTGATGGAAAATTAAAACCCATTTATGGACCTGGTTACACGGGAATGACAAATATGGGCAACTCGTGTTATCTTAATAGTGTAATGCAAATGATTTTTTCACTTCCAGACTTCATACAAAAATATTATCATGAAGCTGAAACATTCTTTAATCAACTTACTGGAGATCCATGTGAGGATTTCAATGCACAAATGTGAGGCAAACGTGATCTGCTTTACGAATTACTAACATTTTAGTTTTTTGAAGGTCTAAACTAGGAGTTGGTCTTCTTTCAGGCAAATACTCGCTGCCTCCACCAGTAGGATCTCCCACGGATGCAGATTCCCCAGGAATTTGTCCTTTAATGTTCAAGGCTTTAGTAGGCCGAGGACATCCAGAATTTTCAACGAAAAAACAACAAGATGCTCAAGAGTTTTTTCTCCATCTTATTGCTTTATTAGAACGTAACAACAAAAATAAAGTTAATCCTGGGGACTGCTTTAAATTTAAAGTGGAGGAAAAGTTTCAATGTAGTGCTAGTAAAAAAGTAAAATACTTAACACGGTCTGATGTTATTTTACCTCTTATTATTCCAATGGACGCAGCTGTGAACAAGGACGAGGTATGCAATATTTTTCAATAATAAAAGCTCAGAAGTATTGACAAAAATTTCTAATATAGTCCACACTTCAAATATACAAAATTTGAAGACTTTTGCGCGTATGGGATTTAATATTGCTTAACTTTTCGTATTTTAATAGTGTTCTTCCTCAATGGCTTTTTGCTTTCCGAGCATAAGCTAGGGAAATACTGTAGTAGGGTCTATACGGTGAATAGGTTCTTTCATGTTTTCTCGGCGTGTTATAACCCCTAGAATATGAAAGAGTAGGTTCCCGTTCTCGTCTGTCTGTCTGTGCTGTACGCCGATTTTTATTAGACGGATGATTTCTGAAACTACTGTCAAATTTTAGGTATTTTAGATTTATTTATCGTGTAGGGTGGTAAAACACTAACCAAATTTTAACTCTTACAGTTATGAATCCGTCTTGATTTTTTACCCGATACCTCCAGATTTTTGAAAATCATTTTCCCCAAAAATTTGGGAATACTGTACTGTTATTAGTACTATACTGCATCTTTTCAAAGTGCTATAAATGTCGGTGCTAAAATGTTATAACGTCATAACATAATCGTGTTATGGAAAAACTCACTTGAATACGCATAGCATGTTTCTTTAACGTGTACTTTCATACGACACATACACACATCTTTATTTTAACTTTTAAAAGTTATCAAAAAAATATACAGTGCATCTATTTTAACAGTGGCCGATGTTAAACTCAAGAGCACATGTTAACTTTTGTTAGGGTAAACACCCAAAGATAATTTGTGCTTTAAAAAATTAAAATTATTTTAATTATAAAATGTTGGGACGTTATAGAAGGTTTTGACTTATCGTTTTAACTTGTCAGTTTTGATCATAATTTTAATTTAAGCATTAAATACCTTTATTGCGGTTTTTGGAAAAGAAATAGAATGATGGAATTGAAACACAAATGAAGAAAATAAAAGCTAATTTTACTGAAATTGCGTTTTTGATCTCCACGATCAAGAAAACCTGTATGTATCAATCTGCCATAAAATTTTTAAATTGTGTTCTGGCGGGGTATGGGATGATATGGGAATGCTGTAGTGAAATTGTGTCCAATTTCTCTGTTGTCGATAAGTCTTTAATATAACCATCAGTGACCATTTCTACTTTTTCTTTAATTGTGTACTGGGGCATGTTGACGAACTTCGGTTACTAAAAACCAGTAATCGAACGAGTAATCAAATTTTAGAAAGATCAGGTAAATGTCTGTTTTTACATGGTTACCTAGAATATTACCGACAAAAATATCCAAATAATTTATTTTTTTTTATAGAAATATCCTTTAATTTAAAGCATAACCTTTAATAAAATCGTCAAAAGATAGCCCAACTTACATCCAGGAAAAACATACGTTAGCATGGGGTATAAAATTTAACATTGGAATCCCTATGGCCACTTTTAAAAGGGATACACTTTATATAAAATTCGCAAAATTAGGTTTTCTAATTTTTCAAAGAAGCTGTCTTTGATTGACTACTTTAGAGCCGAGTTAAGTTCAGTCCAAATAACCTTACGTCAGTTTTTTTCTTCTCTTCAGTAAAGTTTATTATTGATAATATTATCATGTACTGTTAATATTATAAAGGTTACAGTTGTGTGATATGAACCGTGACCAGTTTTGACGGTGTAATTTTATAACAAAACTAAGCATCGACATGTATTCGTTTGCAACGGCCCTGTATTTCGAATGCTCAGTTTTGCTTACATGAAACAAATTTTTGTTTGAGATTATGAATTCGGTTTGGAGCAAAATTCTTTTAATGAATTTTTTAGTGTTATTTATGATACAATGTTAGGGTGAGGTGACAATAAAAATTCAAAGGTAACATTTTTAGGTTGCTGCTTATGATGCAAAAAAATTGGAAGCAGAAAAAAGTGGGAAAAAACTGCTTCCGAACACTGTGGTGAGGCCGAAAATAAATTTCTTGTCATGTTTAGAATTATTTACACAGTCAGAAGTAATAAACAATTTTTATAGTTCAGCCGTCAATGCTAATGTAACAGCTCGCAAGTGAGTTTATTGTATATATCTATACATATGTCTTAATAAGAACAATAATTCCAGAACCACCAGACTATCAACGTTTCCAGATTATCTTTGCATTCAGTTAAAAAAATTTATGCTTCGAGAAGACTGGGTACCCATTAAATTGGATGTTTCCATTGAAATGCCTGATATATTAGACATTTCTAGTCTGCGTGGTAATGGACCACAAGCTGATGAAGAACTGTTACCAGAACCAAAAGTTCAACCTCCTGCTCCTGTAATGGATGAAGCTGTCTTAGCTCAACTTGCTGATATGGGTAAATCTTAGTAATTATATACAACTGTTGTTTAACAAATTAAGAAAATATGCTTAACAATTATTATCTCCTGTAGGTTTTCCACCAGAAGCTTGTAAAAGAGCAGTGTTTTTCACTCACAATTCGGGTTTAGAAGCAGCAACAGCATGGATTATGGAACATATTACTGATTCAGATTTTTCTGATCCGTTTATTCCTCCTGGTACAGAAAGTTCCCAATTTACTCCAAACGCAGAAGCATTAGCTACAATTATCAGCATGGGTTTCACACAGAGCCAGGCCACTAAAGCATTAAAGGCTACTGATAATAATGTGGAGAGAGCCATGGATTGGATATTTTCTCACCCAGATGAACTCGATAACGTTACATCTCCAGCCGCTCCAGAGTACCGAGACGGAGACTGCAGTAAGTATAGCAGTAAATGGAATCATTAACGGCTTTACAAACCGCATCTGCAAAAATATTAACGATAGACTTACTCATTTGAAATATATTTTATTTTTTAATGGAACACATTAAAGGAAAAGGTAGGTGATGAGTTGTCAATGATTTCATATACACTGTATTGTAATTCGTAAACACGTCATCAAATTCCAACAGGGCAGCAAAAGTTTGAAGAATTGTATAAACAATTTTGACATTTCGAATTTGGAAAAAATACATTATTTCCCACCACGTACAAGCTTACATTATACATGTAGATATTTATAGTAAGCAATCTTGACAATTATATATTGCTCATCTCTCTCTCCTTTTGGTCGAACATGTATTGCAGCTCGTTGACCAACAATATTCAAGTGATACCCAGAAAGTTAGTCAGGAGCCGGAAGAAATAAAATTTCCTTGTATTCAAAAACCAAGTTAAATTTAGCGATCAAATAATTTTGCGTTTGTATTATCCGTGATTAGTGTTTTCATTAATTTTTGAAAATATGCCACTTTGATTTAGTTAAATTGAAACGACCTTCAAACTCAAGGTAAAAAATACAGATTAGCTGAGGTTTTACTGCCCATTCACAATGGACATAAGGCGTAACAAGTACATAAAGCTTACATAAATACATAAAGTTGAAACGATGGAAAACGTATACCCCTGTTCACAGTGGACGAACGTAATTCTTATGCTTATGAACGTTTTATGGAATCCTTGTGTGCGTACACAAAGTTGAAATAAGTTCAACTTTGTGCACAAATTATGTCAAAATTATGTTAAAATTTAGAGACTTTTGAATGCTGCTATTGAATTCCCTTTGACAGTTGGCACTTAGCACTTCACACCCTATGCTTAGACGGCAGTTATTCTGTTCTGCGTTTGCGCAGTTTAACAATTCTTACAGAGTTCACTCTGTCCACTGTGAACTTACATAAGTTGTACGAAGTTTATTTATTATGGATTATTTTGTAACATTGATAATAGAGGTTGTTTTCTTGCCATGCGTACGAGGTTGTGTCAAAAACACTAAAGAATATTTTAGTTGCTTGAGTTATTATTTGAAGTAAAGTTTTGAAAGATATTCTAAACAAACAGACTGTAGTGAAAAATTGATTGCAAACCTGTGTATCTGCAAAGTTAAATATTTGTTGTTAACGTTTTTTAGGTCACGTAGGTAACAAACAGCAATATTTTGAATAATCTCTTATGCCACTGTACTCATAAATAGTTTCATTTGATATTTTTCTTTTAAAGATAAAGGGTCATACCCTGATATGTGTAAGCAGCATTACATTATTTGGCATCTTTATTACATAGGTACTTGTACAAAAACAAAATTTCAAGAAAGCACGCAAATAGTAACAACATCTATCTCATTTAAATTTATTGGTTATGTTTGTATCTTTTTTACTTCTGTCTTTGTTGCAGAATATAAACTCGTGGCATTTATATCTCACATGGGTACTTCCACAATGGTTGGTCATTATGTAGTCCACATTCTGAAGGAAGGTCAATGGATCATATTCAACGATAACAAGGTGTCTTTATCGGAAAATCCGCCAAAAGATTTAGGGTACATGTATCTTTATGAACGACTTTAATAGATGTGCTTCAGTAAGTTGTTTAGCGTCATTATTTTGTATTTATACAAAATTATAATAAATTATCATTTGAATAGGGATTTGTTAGCATTTTAAGGAAAAATGAAATTAAAAAAAAGCGCTTTTCTTCTTATACCTGTCTATTTTATACATAGTATGTTAAATAAAAAAAAAGAGCAATAATAACGTGCAACCGATAAAACTGGTAGTCTAGTTGACGTTGGATCTCCTGCCATCTTTGTCATCCCATTGTGAGTAATTGACGATGAGAACGCGGTTGTTCGTCGAGCACCAGTGGTCTTTTTTTATTATTGACATTTTATCAGTACGTCCCAACCGTCCGCCAACAACCATTAAGCTGTTATCCAAACAAAGGTTACACTCTACAGATTTTTTTTATTGCAATGTTCAAACGAGCATTCAGGAGACGAATGCGGTGATTCAACACCACGCCCTTTCAATCTTCAAGGTGTAGTGTTATTTCACGTTCTAACATTTAATAGTAGGCAATGAGCGAAACCACGTTCCGTAGAACCTACAGCACGCAAAACGTAGAAAAAACTGTTATATCTATGGAAACAGAAAATGCAGTTCCTATTGGCGATTGCGTACGTTAACGTAAAATACGTTGTACGGAACGTACACAATCGCCAATAGGGACACTGCATTTTCTATGTTTCCATGGATGTAACAGTTTTTTATACGTTTTGCGTGCTGTACGTTCTACGGAACGTGGTTTCACTAATTGTCCAAAATAAGTGGATATTAATATCTTTAAAACACTTGCTCGAAATACAGCAGTTTTCCACAAGTACTTACGCTATTGTTTTATTAGTACCCTTTGAAATCATCATGTATTTATTACTTCAAAAATGGAAATAAGAATTAATAATGTAAAATGGTTGAATTCGTGATGTGACATCAGTATACTTTTCGTTGTCAAAAAAATGAAAAAAACAAAATTAATTTACAGTCTGTCATAAAATTAATTGTCAGCACAGTTGGTGACAGGTTAAGTTGAAGATAGTATTAGCACTAAGAAGAATGTTTCAAACATTATGGAGGGTACAATTAATGGAAGTGTAACCACATTCACTTCCGAGAATGTTATATTAATTTGAAGAACATTTCCTCTGATTTAAGAAACCGAACAATTGTAACTATGATAATAACAATCGTTACTATGGAGTTAATCAGAGATTAAATTTGATTTGCGTTTATGCAACCGGCCCTATTAATGTTTCAGATAATACCAACTGTACTTTTCACATTCATTTAACAAAGTAAGACCGGGTTTATAGAAAGCGAATTAAAGTTAATTTGCGATAACGATTATTGAAGTCCGTTGCTAGGCAACGTGCATGTATTAACCAATCACGGGCTCATTCTACATTTTAATTCTCTGTTAAATTAATCGAGGATTAAATATTTAATTCGCTTTCTATAAACCGGCTCGCAGATTGTTTATATTTGAATAAAGCTTTTGAAACATTTGTTAGTATATTTTATTTGACGTTACAACGTACACCTGCCAGATTAATTAAACAATTGACATTTAGACTTAACGTTTCTCGGGTTGTTCATCTTACCATAGTAACTTTAAAACACGGGCGTTTGTGAAAGTTGGATTTAAACACGCTGAGGCGTACTTTAAATAGGGTACCAATTAAAAAAAAATGTTATTGTTGAGTACAAAGCTTTAGCTGTTCCTCCAGTCAGACCTAAATGACTGAAATATAATAGATTGCAATGCAAACGTTCAAAAAGAGACTGCCAAAGATCCAGAATTTACATGAAAAAAAAAAAAATTAAACACTTGATGCAGAATGTACTTTTTGGAAGACTGAACTATTGTTTAAGAAAACTGCGTCTGTATCACGACCAAAAGCAAGTGTAATTGTTGTCGTCGAATTACTAACGGAAACGGTTTTAGTACAGGTTTATTTACAATACCAACTACAAAAATGATAACAAGGTCCAAGGTTGTATGTGTATGTCCACGTGGAGATCTTGAAGAGAAGAGGACGTCTGTACACGGTGAGTGGTCGGAGAAGAAGAGGACGTCTGTACACGGGGAGTAGTCGGAGAAGAAGAGGACGTCTGCACCCGGTGAGTGGTCGAAGAAGAAGAGGACGTCTGCACCCGGTGAGTGGTCGGAGAAGAAGAGGACGTCTGCACCCGGTGAGTGGTCGAAGAAGAAGAGGACGTCTGCACTCGGGAAGTAGTCGGAGAAGAAGAGAGTCTGTTTTACGTTTCCACCGTGGCGTTTCCTCTTTAGGCTTGCGCGGTGTAACTGCCAATCCGGTGGCTGCATTATGTATGTATAACTGGTTGCCTACTTCCAGGCGGCCACAGTAGTCCCCTCCCAGTGACTACGTTTCGTAGTCGCGGAATTTCACTGGTGGCCTGGCTGTTCTTCCTGACCTTGTAGTGGTGCTCGTCGACGCAGGTGTTGTCGGGACCTGTTGCGTTGGGGGCTGCACATGAGGCGGAGTGCAGGACTCTGCCGATATGAAAGCCGGTTTTACTCGGTCCAGGCTCACTGTGGTTTCTCTACCATTCCTGCTTATTACTATCACCTTGTCCGTACGCCGTAATACGTGGTGTGGTCCGGTGTAAGGTGGTTGTAACGGCTTCCTGACTGAGTCATCTCTGAGGAAGATGTGGGAACAGTCAGACAGCTCTGGGTGTACAAAAGTCTTGTGGTGGCCATGGTGGGTTGCTGGTCTTGGTCGGACGTTGCGCATGTGGAGCCTCAGCTTGTCGACGAAATTGCTGGGATCGACTTCTGGCTCGTCGTTTGCGAAGAAAAATTCCCCCGGGATTCGTAGTTGCGTGCCGTAAGTCAGCTCGGCTGGGGAACACTGAAGGTCATCCTTGATTGTTGTCCTTAAACCTAACAGCACCGTAGGTAGGATGTCGTACCAGTCACTGGTCTCGTGGCACATGATGGCGGCTTTGATCGTTCTGTGCCACCTCTCGATCATCCCGTTGCACTGTGGTCGGTATGGCGTGGTTCGGCAACGTTTAGTGCCCAAAAGGTCTGTGAGGGCGGACATCAGTGTGGCCTCGAACTGCCGGCCTTGGTCAGTTGTAATACGGTGGGGGCAACCGAACCGCGCAACCCAGGTTGCGTAAAAGGTTTTCGCCACCGTCTCCGCCGTCATGTCCGTCATGGGAATTACTTCTGGCCATCGGGTGAACCTGTCTGTCATCGTGAGGCAGTACCGGTGTCCCTGTGATGGTGGTAATGGCCCAACGATGTCCATGTGTACATGTTCGAATCGGCATTCTGTAAGTTCAAAATGTTTTAGGGGTGTTCTAGTGTGCCTACTCACCTTTGACCGCTGGCAAGGAAGGCATTCGCGCGCCCATTTTTTTATGTTGCGTTCCATGTATGGCCAAACGAAACTTTTATGTACCGCCTTGAATGTGGCTTTGCCGCCTGGGTGTGATTTGGAATGTACCATGTCAAATACCCTTTTTCGTAAGTGGAGGGGTATGTAGGGGCGAATTCTCCCCGTGGCTGTGTCGCACCAGATCGCCGTATCCGAGTTCATGGGTGTGAGATTCTGGAGTTTCAAACTGGTACTGGAGTTCAGCAGGTTTCTCAACTCCAGGTCTTGTTCTTGGGCGGAGGCGAGTTCGTCTGGGTCGATCACTGCTGCCGTGTGAACTTCGCTGATTCGGGATAATGTGTCCGCCACCATGTTGTTTTCGCCCGGTATGTGTTCTATCTCCGTAGTGAACTGACTGATGAAGTCGAGTTGGCGTAGCTGCCTCGGGGAAGCTTTCTCTGAGTTCTGTTTGAAGACGTAAATCAAAGGCTTGTGGTCCGTTCTAACCGTGAAGACTCTCGCTTCTACCATGTAGCGAAAGAATTTGATGGCTTCGTATATCGCGAGCAGTTCGCGGTCGTACGTGCTGTACCTTCGTTGGGTGTTGGTCAACTTTTTTGAGAAAAATCCCAGGGGTTGCCAGTCGCCTTTAACCTCCTGCTCCAACACAGCCCCCATGGCTGTATCCGAAGCATCGGTGGTCAATCTTAATGAGGCGTTCTCGGAAGGGTGTGCTAGCAGCGCAGCACTGGACAACTCGCTCTTGCACTGGCTGAACGCTTCTTCCGCCTCGTTGGTCCAGCTGATTGGCGTCTTGTCATTTTTTTTCGAATTTCGCAGATACACATGTAGAGGTGCTTGGATAGATGCGGCATTTTTGACGAAGCGACGATAAAAGTTGATCATGCCGAGAAACTTTCGTAAGTCCTTCACAGTTTGCGGCTTAGGAAAATCACTTATCGCCGTCACTTTCGCGGTTGCTGGACGGGTCCCGTGAGTCGAAATGCTATGTCCTAGGTACTCCACTTCACTTGCCCCGAACACGCACTTTGCTGCATTAACCACGATTTGGTGTTGCTTCAGTCTTTCAAAAAGCGTTTTTAAATGTCGCACGTGCTCCTCTGGGTTCGCGGAAAAAACTAAAATATCGTCTATATATGCGAAACAAAAGTCTAAATCGTTGAGCACATTATTGAGGTGTCTTTGAAAAGTTTGCGCGGCATTGCGTAGGCCAAAAGTCATCACTGTGAACTCAAATAAACCGAATGGCGTACACACTGCAGTTTTTGGGATGTCCTCGTCGGCCACTCGAATTTGGTGGTAAGCACGTACCAAATCTATCGTGGAGAACACCGTTTTTCCCTCTAGTCTGGCCGAGAAGTCCTGGATGTGTGGTATGGGGTATCTGTCTGGGATTGTTACCCCGTTCAGCCTCCGATAATCCCCACAAGGACGCCATTCCCCAGGATTCTTCTTCTGTACGAGGTGCAGTGGGCTGGCCCATGGACTGCTGGAGGGGCGACACCAACCTTGCTCCAACATGTACTGGATCTCAGCTTTGGCAGCCTTGAGTTTCTCCGGTGGTAGTCTGCGTGGTGTTTCAGCTACAGGAGGGCCTGTTGTGTATATGTGATGCACTACGGAGCTGGATATTTGACTTCCCGGACGTGGTGCTTTCGTCAGTTCCGGGTATTCCGCCAGCAGGTTGTGGTAGCTGGAGGTTTTTGCCACCGTCGTAATACGTGGTACGGAGCAGGCCAATACGAAACCAGGGGAAGAGAGATGTGTCAAGGGG